CCTAAGGGGAGCAAGGAAGAAGCCTCCACGTGTGTATTTCCTCAGCAGCCAAACAATAAGCTAGAAAATGCCGGCGCTCCCTGGTAACGATGCCCGCAATGACATCGGCCAATCCTTCCACCACCGGAACCCAATGCAAGGAGCTAAGAACAGAAACAAAAGGCATTTCTCAGAGCCATCTCTGACAATTGCGAGCCTGAACGTCGAAGGATTTACCCGGAACAAACAAGACCTGATCTCCCAACTATGCCAAATTCACAAATGGGACATATTATGGCTACAGGAAACGCATAGAGATGAACAAGCGCACAGGCCTAAAATAGAAGGAATGCGACTCACTATCGAGGCACCACATAATAAATACGGCAGTGCAATCTTCGTCAAGCCCGACACTAACTTAACCTCCACAGGCAAAACTGTAATGAATGGAACCGAGATGCTCACCATAGAATGCGGACCTTTCACGGTTACATCAGTCTACAAACCCCCAGGTGAAAAAACCGAACTTAATATGCCAGGAAACTTCAGAAGCCAAAAAACTCAATTTATCATAGGCAACTTCAACTGCCATAGTATTAACTGGGGTTATACAGAAACCGACGCGAACGGCTCCATCTTGGAGGAATGGATGGAAACAAGAAACTTCCAACTGCTCCACGACTCAAAGCTACCTTGCTCCTTTATGAGCAAAATCTGGAAGCGAGGGTACAACCCAGATAACTGCTTTATCAGCAGTAACATCCAAGACTGTTGTGTCAAAAATGTCTATGAAGCTATCCCCAAAACCCAACACAGACCTATAGGCATCCAGGTTTTCTCGGCTGTGAGATCTGCCACGGTACCCTTCCGTAGAAGATTCAACTTCAGAAAGGCTAAATGGGCGGACTTTACCGAGGAATTGGATAAGGCAATCAAAAAGGTCGACGCTACACCTAATCACTACACGGACTTTGTGGACACCCTGCGCAAAGTATCAAGAAAACATATTCCAGGAGGTTGTAGACAAAATTGTATCCCAGGGCTGACTAGTAACACGAAGGACATACTAACCAAATATGAAGAGCTATATTCCAAGGACCCCTTTAGTGATAAAACAATAACATGCAGAATAACTCTGATGACCACACTTAGCGAGACAAGACAAAAAATTGGATAGAGTCCCTAGAAACGATGGACATGAAACACAGCAGTAAGATAGCATGGAACCTTGATGGTAGCATGTAGGTAGCAGTATGATAGCATGGTCACCATCAAGAAACTTGATGGTGACCCCAAACAAACCCAAGAACTATCCAAAGTAACAGCCAATCAAGTAGCCCACCAACTCCTCCTAAATGGAAAGCCAACGACGAAAGGTCAGAAAGCACGACTGCATCGAGATATCCGCAGTGAAAATAGATATTTTGGTTCTCCTTTTACAATAAAGGAACTCAACGATGGCATAAACACGCTGAAAAACGGAAAAGCTGCCGGAGTCGATGATATGTGCGTCGAACAAATCAAACATTTTGGGCCAGACACAAAAGAATGGCTTTTACAACTCTTCAACCACTGCCGAGAGAATTTCAGGATACCAAAGCTATGGAAAAAGTCAAAAGTAGTTGCCCTCCTAAAACCAGGGAAAGATCCCAACTCTGCGAACAGCTACAGACCAATCTCGCTGCTGTGTCATCTATTTAAACTATATGAAAGACTGATACTAAACCGAATTAGCAACGTCGTCGATTCAAAAATCATACCCCAACAGGCTGGCTTCAGACCTGGTAAATCATGCACCAATCAAGTCTTAGCGCTCACAGAGCATATAGAAAAGGGATATGAAAACAAAGTAATTACGGGGCTGGTCCTTGTCGACCTAACCGCTGCCTATGACACCGTCAACCACCGCAAAATGCTGTCAAAAGTATATAACACAACAGGAGACTACCAATTAATGAAAATAATAGAATCACTCCAGCAAAACCGTCAATTCTATGTCACCCTTGAAGGTAAAAAAAACCGCTGGAGATACCAAAGAAACGGCCTAGCCCAGGGAAGCGTGCTGGCTCCGATTTTGTTTAATATCTACACCAACGACCAACCAGCACCGGAAGACACAAAACACTTTGTATACGCTGATGACCTGGGCATTACGGCTCAAGGAAGAACCTTTGAAGAGGTACTACTATGAGCTGAACTCCTTAAAACCAAATCCTTCTAAAACACAGGTCTGTGCATTCCACCTTCACACACGACTAGCAAACCGCAAACTTAAGGTCGCCTGGAACGGAGAGACCCTTGAACACACAAATAAACCTGTGTACCTTGGAGTCACACTCGACAGATCTCTAACCTACAAACACCACTGCGGAAAAACCCGTCAAAAAGTGGCTGCGAGGAACAATATATTAAGAAAACTGACCCACAGTAAGTGGGGCGCTAAACCTGATGTCCTAAGAACGTCGGCACAAGCGCTATGTTTCTCCACAGCCGAATACGCCTGCCCTGTCTGGTCAAGATCGGCGTATGCCAAAAAGGTCGATGTAAGCCTCAACGAAACTTGTAAACTTGTGACAGGGTGCATGAACTGTACCAAGCAGCAGGTTTTCACAGTCCTAACTCACGTAGGGAGGCACATGAATTCAGCGAGAAGTTTAAAAAAACATTCGACAATCGTCATCCACTTTTCGGGCAATACCAAGAATCTAAAAGACTAAAATCCAGACGACGATTTCTCAGCAGCCCCCTGGATGAACCATCCACAAACTATCCTCTGTCAGAAAGCCTGCCGAGTGGTGCCTGGTTCAACTTTAAAACCTGGAGAATGTTGAACCGCATAAGAACAGGAGTTGCTCCGGTAAAAACCAATCTGATCAGATGGGGCCTTGCGCAACCAAATGACGACAAATGCGACTGTGGGATGATACAAGATATGGAACACCTTCTAAAGTGCGTTAATTGTCCTGCACATTGTAACTCTAACGATTTATGGCAAAGCAAACCCGAAGCATTGGACGTGGCTCAATATTGGGCCGAGAAAATATAGAATGTTCCGGACACGAAAAAGTAAAGTCCGCAGGAAAATTTGTGTTTTCCGTGGTTCACAGTAGCTTTTTAAAGACAATTTTTTTTCTAGTAACTGATTTCAGCTAAACGAAAGTTGACCCTTTTTCTTCTATAATATCTATTTATTATATCACTCTATCGGGTGCGTCTCAGAGGTGGCTCACCTCTATAACTTTTTTATTCTTTCAGAAAAAAAAAGAGATTTAGTATATTAGTATACGACATAAATTAAGATTGATTGGCGTATTCAATTATTTTCGGTCACTTTCTCTGTTTTGCCGGAAATGACTAAAACTTTTGATTTTTAAATGGCACCCTCGGTATTTTTTTACTTTAAGTATTCGATATAAAATAACACTCTGAATAGAATGACATATCATATGTCAACTTTTGACAATCTCGTTTAAAAAATTGTATTTTAACTTTCAATCTAGCTAGAGTAGGTATCATGGCTGTGTTAAAAACGCTCATTTTTAATCAAGAAGCCTTGAAAAAATAGATTTTATCGTCTAATGTTTTTAGTGTCTTATCCTGGCTGATTAAGAGATGCCCAAATTTTTAATATAATTTTTAATATTTTTTTTTTTCAAATGGAACGAGGGTGGCTCTTTACCATATTTGGAAAAAGCACTTTTTACGAATAATTTGGTATCACGTACACACTTGGTATTTCGAGTCAAATTATCGTTATAAACCACATGTTACAATTTCAAATAAAACATATACGAAAATGTCAAAAGTTGACATGTGATATGTCATTCTATTCAGAGTATCATCACAGTATCATTTTTTTTCGAATAAAGTAAAAAAATACCGCGGGAGTCATTTAAAAAAGTTGTAGTAATTTCCGGTGAAACAGGAAGTGACCAAAAACAATTGAATACGTCAATCAATCCTAATTTATGTGACATAATAACATATCAAATCTGTTCTTTAATCTGAAAAAATAAACAAGTTATAGGTAGGTGTGAGCAACTTTTGAGACACACCCGGTATATCATGTATTTTGATATCAGTAAATGCATTAAATAAAATAATAAATAATCAGGCTATATAATTACTGCACTAGATGATGCAATTATGTTAATAACAACCGTTTTATTTTTGTTACATGACTAATCATTAATTAAATTACTATATTAATTTTTTCAATCATTTCAAATTCAAAGGAACTTTTTATATAATGATTTTTAATAATAAATATTTTATTTTAATTCAATAGCAATTAAGATAATTTTATAGACATATTATTACGTGTTAATATGTTACAAATTATATTCTTCGATCTATAAAAAAGTAGGATAGGTTTTTTTTAAATGAAAATACCATATATAAAATAATAAAAATGTATTTTTTATTTATTTTTTCAATATTATTTTCTTTCAATATAAAAAAGCTCTGTACAGACGTCTGTACTATCACACTCGCCCTAAAGAAAAAACATTTAAACTACAATCTAAAAACGTACAAAAATTCTAACCTTACATTCTTGTCAAATTACTATTTGACCACCATACACATATGAGATCAAATTACAAATTTATGTTGTACTAGAAATCGGAAAACTTAAAATACTGGGCTTCATTTATATAATATAAATCGGCATTTAGTCCGAAAACTTGAAATTTTCCGATTCCCTTTTCCATAATAAGAACCTAAGAAATAATGTTTAATAAAAACCTAATATCACAACGAAAATAAAAAATAATCTTGAACAAAATAAAATAATCAAAAAAAATGAAAAATACTAAAAACTGCTTTCAACGTAATAGAAAAGAATTACATTCAATTATCACAATTTCAAACGGATTTTCTATGAAAGCCCGTTGAAAGTATTCGAGCATTCGACATAACTCGATCGTCACAGAGAAAAATCAAATTGTTAATTTATTATTGCTGATTTTACACCTAAACTCTAACAATGTCTGAAACAAAAATACTTTTATCACTGAATCTTTTATAAACTATATCTTAAAATAACGAAAGGCGGACGTATAACATGATCGAAACGCGCTTTAGAGGCCTACAGAAAAAAAAAATACGCACAACGCCTCTCTGTAAAACAGAGCGCGTTTACTACATGCCACGTCCGCCCTAAATTCAAAGAGAAAGTTCAAAAAAATATAAACAAAATGACTTATTATTATAAATAAAATTCATATTTCGCAACATAATATAGTACGCGATGATATATATATATATGATATACTTTTCAAAATATTATCACTGTGATAGAACCTCAGTCTTTCTATGTAGGTACACCGAGAAAATGATAAATTGGGCACTCTCTAATATAGAGAAGAGCGATACAACTTTTTGAGATAAAGTCTGTATTCAGAGCTGATCATTACAGCACTACCCCTTGTGATTTTCCTGTAACAAAAGAAAACATATCATTAGTTATTGTATTTTTTGCAAATTTTGATTCAATCGAAAAAATGTATTATTTTTAATTTGATCAGACCAAAAAAGAACATTTTTAAAACGGAATTCTATGAAAATTTATGTAATTACTAGGCACCAACTATTCTGAATACTGAACCTTTATTACATGAATAAATTTCTTAAAACTTACTTTAAAAATTGGGGAAGAATATTGCTCCAACCCGCCGTGCTTTGTTTGAGGGTTAGATAGAGCTCAAAGGTAGATGGCGTTGAAGGATCGCAACGGAAGGTGCACAGCATCCGGTTGAACCCCTCGCCCTCGAAGTTGACGTAGAGGGTGCATCCGCGAAGGCCGCAGGGTTCGTTGTCGGCCATGCGAAAAATGTCTTGAGCTATTCTACGCGTGAGGCCGTTGGGCAAAAGCACCTCTCCCATGCTCAGATGGGTGTCTTTGGCCTCCCGAAGCTCAGCCTCTAGTCTCTTGGAGAGTGCCTCCACCACGGCCGGTTCCTCTGTAGAGTCGGGATAGTCATATTCCCAATCTATAACAAAGAGAACAGATTTTAAGTATACAGCAGATCACAACATTAACATTGTTTCATAAAGTAAAAAGTAAAGTGTTCCACAGTCCAAATAACTAAACAAATAAAAATTTAATGAAGCTTTTCAACCAAAAACAAATTTTCATTGTATCATAATCCCTAAGATAAAAGACTCTATATTAGGTGCCTATTTCTATAGTCTTATCTTAAGAAATCTTCTATATAAAATTCGATTCGCCATACGATTCTGTCGTTCAAATATTGACCTCGGACGAACACTAATATATTGAAGGATGACATAATATCTAAATAAACTTCCAGGAGAAACAGTGCGAATCGCTAGAACACCGCTGGGGGCTAGGGGGGATCCGCAGTCGACCAGAAAAGTTGTCAACGCATCAAGAGATCGTGCCTTTTTTATTCGCGGTGAAATCGACTCGGTGTTGCCGGATATTCGATATTTTCTTTAAAAAATCGTCCTTAATCGACGATTACTTTCCTAATGAAAAATGGCAACACGTCAAAGTAAATATTACCGTCAGTAAGAATATTTATAGCGAAAACAACAAATGTGTAAAAATAACTGATAAGGAGAATAACGAAAACAACGAACAAAGAGAAAATATTTGTTTGAGAAACATTTGGCAACGTGGCATCTCCAACTCCTGTTGCCAGGCGTGCGGCCAGAAGGTTACGCCGGGTCGGGCTCAGCTGATTATACGAAGGCGAAAACAACTCGTTTAGCGGGCAGCAGCAGTAACCAGCAGCGAATTGAATAGACCACGGCCTCGCTGAATATTGGGAAATTGTGAACGCTTCAAGACTCGTTTTCCGCGATTGCATCACGATAAAAGTCAACAAACTCTTGACTTAAAAACCTTAAGATATAAAAATTATTTGGTTTTTAAAAAAAAGGTTTGCTTTTAAAAACTATATAGATACTTTTAAGAAATATTTATATTAAAACTGAAAGAAAATAAGAGAAAAACTAAGAAAACTTTACTAGACACTTATTTTTCACTTGGGCTATTGCTATTTCAATCTCATTTTCTTAATAAAAAAAAAGCTTGTCATATACCTATTGGAGTAATTAATATTGAGATTCTTCCTTATTTTCAAAATGAGTCAGTAAAATCATCGGTATACTTACCAAATCATCTCCAAAAATCTCAACTTGCTCCATTAAAGTTTGTTTAATTTTTTTATTAAAATTAATAAGTAATAATAAGTTAAGAATTATAATAATAAATTAAGAATCCAAAACATCAAAATATAAATTTTAAATTCCTTAAGCACAATTTTTTTTTATAATATAGATATTTAAATTCTATTTCAATTTCGCAAAAATAGTCCTATTTGATAAAATTAATTTCTTCTGGTAGCTTTGCAATAACCCGTTTGTTATAAATACGTTCGACACAGCGCAGCGTAAAGAAAGAACTGCATCAATTAAATTTTACTAACCAACTCGTTAAAATGAATGAAAATGTAAAAAACGACTTACCTTCTTCGTTAGTGTAGGTTTCGTTAATAACCGGAAGAACTTCCATAGCTTCACTTAAATAAAAATCAACAAAAAACAACTAATATATCACACAAAGACCAATGGATGATGAAATTTTGAAGGACAAAAAACCGGCTACCGGCTTTTCTACTGCTTCCTCAAACAACCCGCTTCTCTTAAAGCTTCTGCAAAACTGTTTCTCGAAATCAGCTGAGCCGGCTTTATATAAAATCGCCTTCCCCACCGATTCGCTGTTGCCATCGGATGATTGGGAACAGGACTCGAACTGGCTCTCTCTGTCGTCCATTATGAGAGAGAAAGAGATGAATTGATAGCGGCAGGGTTTTATTGCCTCAGGCAACCGGCGAGGAACCGGCAGCCGAACGACGATCGGGCGTGTTCGACCGGTTCGTGTGCGTGCCTACGTGATCTGAAGCCTGTAGTTTGTAGATCGCTTAAAAAACAGATAATGTTTTTCTTTGTTTGGATGTGAGATGGTTTTTTAATTAATTCACCCGTTTGGTGCATTATTATGCGCAAGAAGTTCTTTCAGACGTGCTGTTTACAGAAAAGAATCGTACAAAAGGAGCTTTTTCTTTGTTTGTCGAGAAATTGAATGCCGGCAAGAACGAAAAACGGCGAAAATAGGTTTCTTTCGCCTAGAAACAAGACCAGTAGAAGCGACAAAGTGCCTGATATCGAATCCTATCGAATACTCGAGAATATGTATAAATTTACTTGGAAATTGATGAATAATATACGGCGATAAGATAACCCGGTTATATACGTGACAGACATACAGACGAGAGTCGAGTAGGTACCTACATTATTATTTAATTTTCCGTATAATTTTTGTAACGCTTGGAAAAAAGCTTTTTCATCTATATTAATTTGCTAGACTCCAAGTATCTGGCTAAAATTGTCTAAATATACATAAAAAGTATGATAGAATAAATAATTATTTAATGTAACAGTTTTAAACATATTTAACAGACTCATTGGCGACTCGATAACGGCGAATGATCTTCGAGCTATTTTTTATTAGGGAATAAACCAAGAATCAGAAATGAGATGATAGTAATTGTTGAATATTTTGTTCTTGAATGATTTTTCTGGTGATCTTAGCTGAGATGAGAATCCACCTTAGTGTGACTTATGAATAATTCACATGTTTTAAAGGCATTTCATTAAAGATTCTATTAAATTGAGTATTATGTATATAAGAGTATGTAAGATCGTTCGCCAAATTTGAGTGTTTTTATAAATATTATAGTGTTTTTCCGATATGTAAGTTATATTACAATTCTATTGAAAAATAAATATTATGTTATTGTATTTACAATGTTGTATTTATTTCAAAGTTATTGTTTCAAGGTGCGAACTAGAGTTTCATGATCATGTGCCATCTCGAGAGTTTTTTAGTAGTACTGCATGTTGAATAATTAATACCTGTATTCAAATAAATAATTATTTAATAAATTGAATATTACATTATGCTTATTATGCTTCTTCTTTATTTTTCTTCTTTTAACGAGTTTCCTCTGTTAAGTAATAGAACATTAAAAAAACCAGCAAAAGCGAAAATGTGTTAAAAATCGAAATCTGATAAAACATTCGGAAATATGAATCGGTACTTAGAAAATGTGTATCCTAGATACTCAGTGATATATACATAGATAAGATAAACTGTTCAAATACATGGCAGACACACAGTCGAATATATTCTAATGAAATTTGAGCATATATTATTAAATTATTTAAAAATTATATTTTACAGTATAATAAAGCTTACTAAAATAAACTCAATATATGGCATCGAAGTCTTTGACTTAAATAATTTTATTTCAAGTCCAGTCATTTTTGTAAAGAATTAAATCAATATAACGTTATTTAAATCGTTTTGATGACTTAAGTCTATATTTTTGACTTACATCATGATAATCTGCAAGTTAAGTCAGTAAAATGACTTAAATCAATATAATTACCCTCAAGTCAAGACAACCAGAATTCAATGTAAGTACCTTTTTTTAAATGTTAATATTAATTTTCTTGTATTACCAAGTAGACGATTTTCTTAGTAAGTATCATATTAAATTTAACTGATTTTGTAGTAGGTACTTTATATGTATCCTTTACAGTTTGGATGTCATCGAATACGACATATCTATTAAAAAGTGGTGATATGTTTTGATCACTATGTAATATATCCAGGGCCGGCGGAAGGAAAATATTGAGACCGGGCGAGTACCCTATCTGGCGCCCCTCCCCCTCCTTAACAGTTACTATAACTCTCTGTTTCCTTCAGTCCTATACTTTAACTACAAACTAAGCATATTTATGCTTCTTTAACAATAAATTTTCACTTAAAGATACTTCAAAATTTTTCTCTACGTTCAATCTTAGTCTGCGATTGTTGTTTTTTCTACACCGGTCTCGAAAGTGACTCACTCCTATAATTTTTTTATTTTTTTAGATAAAAAAACGAGTTTTGGTATGTTAGTATATGACATATATTAGGTTTGATTGACGTATTCAATGGTTTTTAGTCACTTCCTGTTTGACCGGAAATGACTAAAACTTTTGATTTTTAAATGCACTCTCAGTATATTTCTACTTTATTCCAAAAGAAAATGACATTCTGAGTAGAATGACATATCATATGTCAATTTTTGACATTTTCGCTTAAAAAATCGTATTTTAAATTTTAATCTATAGTGCCAGGGCTGTGTTAAAAATATACAAATTATAGGGGGAGAAACTTCTGAGACGCACTCGGTATATACAGCATAAGAAATAGAATTCCAACTTCGGCAGTCTCGTATAAATGATCTTTGAAAACATAGTATTTAATTGCAAGCAGTTACATTATTTTTTATTATATTTTATTATTAAGAATTTAAGATAATTTCCTTTCTTTTTCACAAACAATTACATATTTAGTGCAGAATCAGTATTCTTTGTGAGAAATGTTTCGTTGTGTGATTCCTGTAATGAGAAAATTTTACGATTTTGCTACAATTTTCAGTGTATTACTACATATTCAATCCGGAACAATCAAAACCACCAAAAGATTGATATCTTTCCCACTACTAGTAATAAATTAATTTAATTAATGAGGCAAACTTATAATTTTTTTTTGATAATAAGGAAATCGGGATCCTCTTCAGCTTCTTGCGAATGAATATTTGCCTCATATAACTTTAGGGCATATCAGCCATTAATAACAAATAAAGGGTGTGGATAGTAGAAAAAGTACAATTTTGAGCGGTCAGTCTAAAACTGTTAATTTTGCTGGCTCTTGACCCAAAACAGTTTGTTTAGAAATTTATAAAAACGAGAATTATAGAAAGAAGGATTATTTACAAAAAGTTGTTAGCTTTTGAGTTATATAAATGCCACGAACAAATCCGATTTAAATTTTTTTATTTAATTTTGTTTAATATTCTTCCACGAAAATGAATTCGCAAATCCCAGTTTCGGGTAGAGCACTCAAAAAACATATAGAATAGAAGAAATCAAAACTAAAAGTGATAAGCTTTCGTGATAAGGATTTTTTGAGCAATAATTTCAGTAAACTATAATAGGATACATCTAGGATATAGTATAGTGTTTATAATGTTTAGTCAGATATTCTTCCCTTTGTGGTGTGGTAATAGCTAATGTGTTAATGTGGAAATTGACAGTACCGATTAATTATTGAACTGGATATTCGTTACTATTTGTTTAGATTCCTGTTTTTAAATATTTTTGTTAGAGGATTTTAAGGTACCTACTCTTCAATATATTGGAGATAAATTTCTTTCGTTCGTCTTTCGGGCTCCATGACGACGTCTCAGACTCACTACGCACGCGTAACAAGACAAATAATTAAAACCTGTTCCGAAAAACATGTTATTTGCTAGTGGTATTACTGAGTATTTTTTTTTATTCTGCTGCTTGGCTGCCGCCTGCCGCCTTATAGTTGAAAAATATTGCTATTAAAAATGTATCATAAAAACATATAAAAAAGCAATTAAGCCTCTTATAAAATGACTCTTTTTCTATTTCGGTATAAAGATTTAAAGCACAAATCGTTTTGAAAAAGACTTAAATTTTAAGTCTTAAGTCAGCTTTCAAAATCAAATGACTTAAGTCATTAAAATGATTTAAATCAAAAAAAGACTTAAGTTTTCTGTGAGCTTGCAGCTCTGTGAGTATGTACAGGGTGGCTCGAATTCGACGCTCATCATTGGGATTTCGGAAACCGTAAGAGATACAGGATCGGTTAAATGGAAGCAAAGTTGCGCAATTTGATACTTAATAAAATGACGTATTGCTTTTTGAAAAATTCCGAATACTTCCGAATATATTCGAAAAAAACGGAATTTTCAATTTTGTTTTCTATTGTTTCCTGGCTTTATTTGTTAAGATAGGTAATTTTAGGCTTGGGCTTTTTCTGTTCTATAACTCTGTGTGATTAAATATTGACTCTGACGTAAAAAGGACTCTGACAAAAAAAAATAAAATCTATACTAATATATAAAATCCTTAAGTGACTGACATACTGATTAATCACGATCCTGCTCAAACCACTCAACGTAAGAAGCTCAATTTTGGCATACAGGTTGATTCTAGGGTGTAGAGGTTCGATAAGAAAGGATTTTTCGAAATTCCATTTCCAAGAGGGCGAAACCACCCCTCAAATATTACAATATTTTTTATTTAAAAAACGGTCAAGTTTCCGAAAAAACGCTTAAACACGTATATTTTATTTTGTTTTTTTACATATTTTAAGATTTTTTAAAAATGTATACAAGGTGTTGCGAAAAATCTGGTCATTGATTAATCACGATCCTGCTTAAAGCGCTTGACGTAAAAAGCTGATTTTTGGAAAACAGATTGACCTTAAGGTGTAGAGGTTCGATAATAAGGGATTTTTCGAAACTCGAATTCTAAGGGGGTGAAACTATCCCTCAAATATTAAAATATTTTTTATTCAAAAACCGCTGAGTTTTTCGGAAAAACTCTTAAACACGTATATTTTATTTTGTTGTTTTACATATTTTAAAATTTTTTATAAATTTATGCAGGGTGTTTCATAAAATATGACCATTGAGTAATCACGATTCTGCTTAAACTGCTTGACGATTAAAGCTGATTTTTGGCAAACGGATTGACAAATTGATTGTGAAGTGTAGAGGTTCGATAAGGAGGGGCTTCTCGAATCTCAAATTCCAAGACGGTGAAAA